TGAGCAGGGTGAATGTATCTATTATTTTGAGGACTTTTGTTGTACCGATATAATTGATTACTTTTGGTGTACCTATATATTTGCATATCTTGTCTGTGACGATCTATATGACGCCGACTGTACAATGCTATGGTCTAAGTCACGATTACTGCCGAGTTTTCCCTAGCGTTTGTTTGAACCTTATACATTGTGCGGCATTCCACATAGTGATTTCACGTTCAGTACGCCCACCACGTATCGGACACGGTTTACATCACAAACTTAAAGCGATGAGAATCTATACTAATACTAGCTGTCGCCCGCGACTCAGTCCGCGCGGGATTAAAAATAGATGTTGGCCGATTCTCAGACCTACTCAACATGCTCACAAAATTTCATGAGAATCGGTCTAGCCGTTTCGGAGGAGTATGGGAACGAAAATTGTGACACGAGAATTTTACATATAAGATTAGAAAGGATAAATTAAATTGCTTGTTTGCATTGAATACTATACTATACGCTCCGAAACCCCTGAACTAATTAGAAATTTCTTTTACTGGAATTCTACACTACTTACGGATGATATTATCTGTATTTATTGCTTGATTTTTTTAAATTTAGCGTAGACGAAGTCGTAGGTAACTTCTAGCAGATAATAATTTGTGTTCTAGAAACACTGTTGTTTCAAGACATCCATACCCGTCTTGGTATTATTAAATCTACTTATACAATTTTAATATTACATTAAGGGTACAACATCGCCAATAGCTTTTCATTGCGCTGCACAAATTAAGCACAACACGTATTAAGCATATGAGTCAGATGTCATTGAGGCGGCGGCGATCGTCCGACCTCTAGCACACGCTGTGACCCATACGTGTTACCAACGACCTATATAGTTCACTGTCAGGATATATCAGTTTTTTTTTATATCACAAGGTGGCAAACGAGCGAGCGGTCACCTGAAATCGCTGTAATAGCGAAGTGACCGTTGCCCATAGACATACGCAATTGCATATGCGTTGCCTACCTTTAATCGACGGAGGAGAGGATGCACAGGGACACAATATTTTCCCTTTCCATGCATCCTCTCATCCGGAAATTCCACTTTCGCTTACCATCGTTTCCTTAAACTAAAAGGGTGGAAAGAGAAAGAGGATTAAATTAGGCCTCCGGGACGCACACTCATCAGACGAAACGCGGAATTGCTTACACTTCACGCCTGTCTTCTGTGTGGTCGTGGTATTTCACCGGGCGAGCCGGGACAATTCGTGCGAAGATGTTAAAGCTCGCTCTACCACTGTTAAAATCATTATAACAAACAGAACATAAGGTTTAGAAGACATCTTCTTTAGTATGGAGTAGGAACAGACATTCTTCAATCTGCGAAAACATTTAAACAATATTTTACAATGTTAAAACCTCTTTTTAATAGCGATAGAATGCAATAAAGATTTTTTCTTATCGCAAGAAGGCTAACGAATAGTCGGCCACCGGCGGCAATTAACTGAAATAACGAAGCGACCGCTGCAATTTGCAGACGCTTTTTCTACCTTTAATGAACGGAGGAGGGGATGTACAGAAAGAGGATATATCCCCCTGTCTTTGCATCTCCTCATTCGTCAAATACACAGATATATGTAGAAACAAATCAGTGTTTTGTTTGTTACTTTTATATACTAATTTATATTTGTGGTTTTTATCGTCAAGAGACTTGTTCCTGACAGGTGAGATGTAAGCAACCATCATCCCAACAATCTATCAATTCAAGTGTTAAACTAATTGGAGTGGTTTGTTCGCAACTATTTCAGACCCAGTCCCTCGTAGCCTCATCAGCCCGGAGCCAGATGGGGTGAGTTACTTCCAGCCACTTGCGCCGCGCCCCCCGCACAAACGTAAGCATTATTATCTTAAAGAGTTTTGTCTGTGGGGTGTATGCTAGCATGTAAAATTAATTGCTTCACCTGTTCGAATACATCCCTTGCTTGTATATATATAATACAAACTTAATTATCTTTGTTTTTAAACCAGGAACATCTTCCACTGAGCTGGCATACTCAATATATTAAACGTATGACGCAGCCTAGTCACGGTATGTCTCATGAATTATACGGTGATTCATACTCATATGCGTATGTGAGTAACATCGTAAGATCATTTGTACGATAATTAGTAGTTTACGATTAACCCAATATCCACTATCGAATCATCGAGGCTAGACAAAGTGCATTCGCTCCGAAGCGATTCCATTGTGAATTTCAACGCGCGATAATCACGTGACTTATCGAAAATTATTGTCTGTTGTACACATTTTTGAAGTTCGTAATGGAATCGCTTCGAGGCGAATGAAGTTGTCTAGCCTTGAAGATTGATCAACTCATCAAGAGGATAAGAAAAAGTTTAAACAATCATAAGATTCTTCATCAAGTTAGACGATAGTGAAGCTTGGTGACATAAACATCAAAAGAACAAGAAACAAAACACATTTATCAGTACTTCAACACAACAACAGACATAAATGTGATCAAGCACACACGACACGCGCTCCATGTAAATGAACATGCACCGTAAATGCCTACAACCAACTTATTGCACATTGTTTGAAGCGAGTCGTTCTAAGTCTGCACACGAATGCACTTTATGTTACATACTTAAAATCAAAATATTACATATCCTGGAGGTTACAATTGTGGAGTTAACACTGTCATGCAAAACCTAACGTGTGTGGTCTACATAAGAAGTATATAATACAAATCCCACCTAGTCGTTGATGTAGACCACGTCTAGAAGGTACCAGAACATCGTTAAAATGTAATTAGATTATGGGTAAAAAAAAACGGTGAAAAACATTAAGTGACTTTTTCCTCTAGATAGAATAAGAACTAAACGTAATGCGAGCAGACATATAAATGTAACGCAATCTAGGTATAGTATCGTGTTGATATATTGGCTATTGTTCGGTTAACGGTACAGCACGTTATGGTGGGCTAGATGCCCACCCTGAGTTGTAATGACACACCTTATACGTATATCTTTTGCCTGCGACTTATAAATAAACCAAAATATATTTAACAGTGGTAGAGCCCGATTTAACATCTTCGCACGAATCGGCCCGGCTCGCCCGGTGAAATACCACGACCACACAGAAGACAGGCGTCAAGTGGAAACAATTCCGCGTGCAGTCTGATGAGTGTGCGTCCCGGAGTGCGTCCTCTTTCCCTTCCCACCCTTTTTCTTACAAGGAAGGGATGGGAAGTGGAAGAGGACTTTCCGGATGAGAGGATGCATGGAAAGGGAAAATATTTTCTTTCTGTGCATCCTCTCCTCCGTCGATCAAAGGTAGGCAACGCATATGAAATTGCGTATGTCTATGGGCAACGGTCACTTCGCTATTACAGCGATTTCAGGTGACCGCTCGCTCGTTTGCCACCTTGTGATATAAAAAAAAAATCCCCTATCACCTGAGGAAAATGTAACTTTTCAATAGTTCAAGAGCTTCAGAGCCTATCAATGCAGACAGTAAAATCTTTTAAATATAAGTATAGTACATATATTTTGTTTATTAAAAAGTCGTTATTCAGAAAAATAATTCACGTGATATCTTACTTTAGTCCCACTCCTTCCTTCTGGTGTTGTTTGGACATTTTTTTCGGGACTTCACCCGCATTTTTAGATCATCATGTGGGACACCTCACGTGTAAGTGTCACTTATTACTTTACGTATTATGGCGATTATATTTCACATATGTACTTTATTAAATAAATGAATTGAACAAATATCTAGTTGAGCTATTATTTCAACATATACAATCATGTACCTACGTGTAGGCATTATTTACAGTTTCGCAAACATCTGTGGGCTGTCAATTGCTAAATATTCACGATTTCTAACCTACGAGTGTTATCTTGAGTGAGAATGTATTACAACCATTGTGCTGTTCTAACTAACGCTAGCTAGTTGCATTGCTTGACGGCATGTTTATGCCGTGTCTAACAGACAGAGCTGACACTTTTCCTGAATATTTACCCAATCAAAGACAGGATTAAAACATTTATTATATGTATTTACAGTCAAAGAATTTAATTCGCTTCCCCGTTCACACTATGCTACTATGATCTCTTTCAAATCTTTCACCGAAAAGTGTAGAAAATAAAGTCCTGAACTGTACAGACTTCTGTATCCACTAACTATATTTGTCAGTGTATTTATTGAGGCATATCATCGTATAATTATTACACACGTACGGTAGGGGCGAGCAAGCGAGTGCAAGGTAATCCGATATGTTCATTGAGCCCGCCACAGACACCGACCGCGCTCCCACGGCGACGAGGTGGCCGATGGTCTCCGCGAATGTACCGCGCTTGTACGATTATTTACGTCTCATCAAGTTCATATAGTTAATGCGAATTCAAGGCTTTACGATTTGTAGTATACATTAAGGTACACCTACTCTCTAGGAAAGATTATACAGGGTGTGCTTAGCATTCTTGGAACTTCGGTTAATGCTCCTGAATCTAGCCTTAATCAACATAAACCGCGCTCTATGTATCAAATTAAAGTCTCTTTGATCAGGCACTTACCCTATGACTCCTGGACGCCTTGGGGTCAAGGTACGTGCGAAGTTTGTTAAGGTAGTGCGCAGGTGAATCTTTCGCCTGCACCATATCCTGGTCACAGATGATCTCCCATTTCTTCTCCAGGTCATAATTACGTAGCAGCTTCGCTTTATCCGGAGGTAGATCCATAGAGGCCTGGAAAGAAGAAAAAAAAGTTAAATAACATGGCACAAAGTTATGATTCACTAGCAGAGGCCCGTGACTTCGTTCGGTCGGATTAAAAAATCGCCTATGTCTCCCGGAGTAAGATAATAGCTTCCCAATAGTGAAAGCATCAGTAATTTCGGAGCCTATTAAATACAAACAAAAAACAATCAAATCCTTCCTATTAAGTTGGCAATCCTAGAGCTTTGATATACGTCTATGACGCTAGCCTTGTTAAAGATCATCTAATTAGATGACAAATCATACTAGGACGTTGTTTTGAACGTGAGTGCATTCTGTAACTGCATCATAAAATTGACTGTCCAATGAATTAGGAGCGTCAATAGCCTAATGGTTAAGGGTACGGATTTCCGATCACGAGGTCGGGGGTTCGAATCCCGCCATTCGACTATTATCGTAAACCATATCCAAGCCTAGGGCTTAGTTGGAATGGTAAAAAAAATATTAGTAAATTTATTAAAAATCTGCTTATATTTCAATAAAAAAAAATTAATTACCTTACAGTTCTTAGACAAAATATACAGTTAGTTAACCATATTAAATATCTATATTATGACTAAAAGCTTCTTAACTTAGTCAAGTATTTGGATTATTCTTATATGTAACTAAATATATAACCACATAGAGTTAAGTTTTTTTTTTATAACAGAAGGGGGCAAACGAGCAGCGGGAACACCGAGGTGTTCAACGACGCCCATGGACATCAGCAATACCAGAGGAACCGCAGATGCGTTGCCGGCCTTTGAGGTTTGACAGAATAAGAAATTTAATCTATATAAAATGTTATATACAATTTTTACTGTCTTATGTACAATGTAATTTAATATCTATAGATTATTCTAGTGTCAAAATAAATTATACAAGAATGTCTATTTTTAGAAGGTCTATGGTCACAGTCTTATAAAGGTAAAATTGTTTAGATAGACCTGTTACAATATCTAATTTCCATTTAATTCGACTATAGATTTATTATTTGTTTTTTATATTCATATCCTCGACACATGTATAAAACCATTCAATCATCAAGCATGTCTCATAAATCATAATCCCACACATGATTACATCAACGTGGGTTTCACGTGACATGCGAAACTTAGGCATTAGAGTTGCACAACAAAAACAGCGAGCTTGTTTCAGCTTTGTTGTTGTTTTTAGTCTATGGGACGCAGTAACGCGCATATCGGAAAGAGGATCGGCAGTGAACCAGTTTCTGGTAGAGGTCGCCACACGCTACGGCCGCGTACCGCTAACGGGACACAAATCCGACGCACCTAGGGTTACCGCGCGACTCTATAATTAAACGTACCTTTCTTACAAATCTTCTCTACTTACTTATATTATAATATTATAAATGTGAATGTGTAGATGGATGGATGGATGTTTGAAGGTATCTCCAGAACGACTGAACGGATCTAGATGAAATTTGGCATACATATCGAACATAGTCTGGAAAAACACATAGGTTACTAATTATGTTTTTTTAAATTCCAATCGGACGGAGTCGCGGGCGACCGCTAGTTATTCATACAATGACAGCCGAAGTCACAGTTGTTAATTGGGCTTAATAAGACCCTAAGATAGATTTCTCATTCCAAATATGATTTATTTTAGGGCCTCTCAACAATTCACAACGTATTTTTTTTACATTAAATTTTAAGAATTAAAACGTACGACGTTCGTAAGTTTCCAACGCCAAGTTTTAACGCGGAGCTAAAAATGTAAAACTGACTCGATGTCGACATAACATTTACAAGCAGCACTCTCCTTGAGGCATTGTCCTGTGAACTGGCATGCGTCCAAAGGACGCAGCGAGGCCGATAGCATATCCTTTGAAAACGATCGACCACTCGTATTATAGAAAATATATTTCTTCTACAAGAAACATAAACCACCGTCCGCGCGGATTTAAGAAAAAAACATTAAATAGAAGAAGGCATAGGCTACCTATGATATGTTGCTATACCCAGTGATTGTTTAAAAATTTCACCGAGATCCGTTAATCTGTAGATTCAACCTTCCAACAAAATCCCATCCATCTAAACATTCGTATTTATAATATTAGTAAGATTTACTGTTGATTAAGCGCATGGTAATACGCTTTAATATCTTGACCATTATAAATATAAAAACCAATTACTTCTACACTACTGTGTATGCATATATTCTTTTGCTATTCTACAATCTATGTTTAAAGTAGTCTCGTCAAACAAGTATAATTACTTCAAGAAATATTCGCTTCAAATCAAAAGACCGCACACTGTGAAATAACTTGTTTGAATGTACGTTAACTAAGTTAATTGTATTTATAACTTGCTGTCGCCCGCAACTCCGTCTGCGCGGAATTTAAAAAAAAAAACTATCGGTCGCAGCGTAATTTTATATAGCCTAAAGCCTACATAAATGGACTATCCAACAAAAAAATAAATGTTTAAATCGGACCAGTGGTTCCTGATATTTGCGCTTTTAAACAAACAAACAAACTCTTCCGCTTTATAATATTATAGTATAAATATAAATGTTCAATAAAAAACATAACATATAGATAAGTACTATCAAATTAACTGACGGTTCGATAATTACAGATACGATAGATAGGTGATAATTAATTGCTTATATTATAACGTAGCAAGATTAATTTGTATACAAAATGTATGCCATATTGTTGACTATATACTATAGTTGTTATCACCTAGGCAGTAAGTACGATATTAGTAGAGCAAGCGAGGTTAGAAGTCGAAAATAGTAAGTGGCGCATTAACATAGATGAGCGGTGATCGGCCGATCAATTATGACGCAGCGGCCGGTGCGATCCCACGCGCTCCGATATTGTGGGTACAAGTCATAGAATAAAGGCGGCCTTACACGAACTGCTAAAAGCCACACCGACAAATTGAAACTGCGGTTCGTGTATGACAAACTACAAAGAGCGATTAACACCCTCAAGCTGTATGTACCGACTCTTTTCATTAGTTCGTGTTTGTCATCTTATGATTTTAAACAATCTTACTAATACTAAAAATTCGAATATTTGGTTGGATGGATAAATTGATGTTTGTTAGAAAGTATCTTCCACGCGGACGGAGTCGAGGGCGACAGTAACTAATAAATACGCAGCTCTTTTAGTGCATCTACATTGCACATAAATTGAATTACGTTAATTAAAATTTAGTTGAATTTGCATAAGTTCATTACTTGCACCTTACATGCGTTATGTAAAAATCAGTGCATGTTGTAGGTGAACGACCTGCGCGTACGCTAACTGCAAACATTGAATTTGAGCGTTCACGTATTGATACACTACACAAATGCAATCAATGAACGCAAAGAATTCAAAACTTTTTTCCACTTAAGATTGTATTTTATCGTGGCTGAACAGATCTTAATGAAATCTGGTATAAACATAGAGCACAGTCTGCAATAACACATAGGCTACTAATCATGTTTGTATAACACTGCGGAAAGAGTCGCGGGCGACTGCTAGTAAATAATATACTGAGATAAAGTATATGGTAACATACATACAGTGTTGATACTCGTACTATTCCTATATTTTCAATTACCTATTTTCTCATATATCCTCAATTTACTAAGTATGTCAATGTATATATAAATCTTGAGATTGTTGCGGATGTTCAGGGCAACGGTAGTTACATATCACTCACAAATACCATAAAAACATTTATAGCATTTTATGCCAATAATTCTGATAACATCAGTTGTACCAGTCACCTTATTCTTAGTCTTAGAATTAGAAAAAAAAACAAGTAAACGATGGATGGTTGTTTGTTAGAAGGTATCTCTAGAACGGCTAAACGGATCTCGCTGAAATTTGGCATAGATGTAAAATATAATCTGGAAGAACACATAGGCTACTAAACGCGCAACGGAGGCGCGGGCAACGGCTGGTTTAATTATAAAGTTGTTCACGGAGAAGCTAGAAGATGATTTGAAGACGCTGTTTCCGGTTACACCGCGCTAGATAGTTCTCGGTATTGACTGTGATAACCAGCTGTGTAGTAAACGATATAGAACAGCGGAGTTAAACAAAGTACATTCGCTTCGAAGCGATTCCATATCGAATCTTAAAAATGTATGGAACTGACAATAACTTTCGATGAGTCACGTGATTGTCACGCGTCAGTTCCATACATTATTGTATTTCGTTATGGAATCGCTTAGGAGCGAATGCACTTTGCCTAGACCCGCTGACGAAGGAACTGTGTTCTTATTCATGTATATATAACCTATTTTTATGAATGAACTGTGTGTACTCATATCTTTACGCTAAACAAATTAACACATGTGAAGTATTTTTTCTTCCTCTCGAAGTATTTGAAAAAGGTTTCTTTCATAAATAAAACAAATATAAAAAGATTTCAGTGCAGTATTTGCAATTAATGTATGTAAGATATATATGTATACTAGCGGACCAGACAGACGTTGTCCTGTCTACACGTCTTTAATTTGAATAAATTAATATGAAGTTAATATTTGATGAAAATTGTGAATGTAAACCATTCCCAGATCCCCTTGAACACACACAAAAAATTTCATCTTAATCGGTCCAGTCGTTTGAGAGAAGTTCAGTGACATACACACTCACAGAAGAATTATATATATATAGATTGGTGATATACAATAGAGATAGTTAACGATATGACATACAAGCAATTAGAAAGTGGCGCAACTAATTATTCACGGAATGTTGTCACCTCATAATTCATAACGGTCGCGAAACTCTCCCGACCAATGTGGACCAAAAACATCACTCACACACCGTACTGTTGAGAAAACTTAATCTAGAAAACATCGTATTTTTCTTGACAAAGCCGTTATCTTATATGACAACTAGCTGTAGCCCGAAACTCAATTAGTAGCCTGTTTTCTTCCAGACTATGTTATATATCTAGCCCAAATATCAGCAAGATCAATTGAGCCGGAGATACCCTCCATCAAACATCCAAACATTT